GCACAAAGCCAAAAACAAAAACAGACACACACACAGACACACACACACACACACACACACACACACACACACACACACACACACACACACATACTTTCTGGGCCAAGAATTATCTTCTCCTCTTGCTTTGTTCCAGGCAAACCAGGCTCTATTTCATACCCGATGCCTTCTAACTAAATTCTTCTTTGTTGACTCTAGTTTCCAGTTTTGGAGCCCTGCCTGAATGCTTAACAGAGTCCCTTAAAAATCTCCCTGACCCCAAACAGCTCCATCTTCCTCAAACAGAGCTCTTATTGTCCCATCTCTGGAGTCAGCCCCTATCAGTCTCAGGGCCTTGTATGTAGAAGGACTCCCATGCATGACTTCACATTCTCCTGTCTTTAGATTTCTAAGTTATCTTTGACTCTGGCTTTTTAGCACCCTCTGATGGAGCGGTGGTATGTTCTGGGCTCAAAGCCCCAGTTCATATTTGAGCTACTTTCTCTTCCCCAGCAAGATGGGGCTAATTAGGACTCATGAATGCCATTGCTCCATGGTTGGGTACCAACTAGACCACACCAACAGAATCCCATTGCTCCACTGAAGCCCTCCTGATGTAAGTGCTGGGTGGTCAGGATGGGGTACTTCAGCCCAGAGATGGACTGGGACCACTGGTTCTTTTTTTACTATTGGGAAACCGGTTGGAGTTTGGGTGGGAACAAGTCAGTAAATCCCCCAGACACTAGCAGACTTACAACAGAGGTCTACAGCCAGTGTGCTACAGGACGGTGAGTCCTCAGAAAGGGAATGAGGGAGCTAACAGGAGACAGAACATAGTACGTGAGACCTACATTCATCCAAGAGTCCTCACCAAGGCAGAGCCCACACTTACACCTGTGAGGACCTGCACTTCCCACCCCCCAAGATCCTCTTTGCACCCTTTGATAGGGAAAGAAATAAAAACATGGTAAAAATAAAAATGGCTACAAAAATGGTCACAGAGTCCACACATCCTTTTCTGAACCTTGGAGATTTTTTTTTCCAACAGAGTTAAAAGTTCCACTCAGGTCCAGATATTACTAGGTCAGCCACTTAATCTTCCCAACTAACAGTTTTCAGGAATCTAACAATACCTTTTATGGTTTGAGAAATACTGGAAAGACTGGTTTTTGCCCCCACCCCCACCCCTGCTTTTATTTTTCTTGGTTTGAGTGCTAGTGTCTGAAAGCCTGTGGAGCAGAGGTCGATTCTGTGTGTCTTTCTCCATCACTCTTTCACCTTATTTGTTTATTTTTGGCAAGGCAACAAGAAGTTTTATTTAAAGAGACAGATGCAGCCCACAGGAGCAGCGGGCTCCTTGAACTAGAATGCTCAAGGGCAGCCCCACCTTATTTTGGGGGGCAGTCTCTGACCGAGACCCTGGAGCCCACAGATTCAACTGGACTGGCTGCCTAGCACGTCCCAGGGACTGTCCTGTGCCATTCATCCACAGCTGGGATTACAGGCGTATGCCACCTGTTGTCATTGTTGTTCTGGGCTCCAGGGGTTGAACACAGGACCTCCTGCTTGAGTGACAAGCTCTCTACCCACTGAGCCACCTCCCCAGCCTGAGCTTTGCTTTCTGACCTGAACATGGTGACTGAGGACCATTGTGATTTGTGTCATTCTCCAGCTGCCAGACCTGATCCTGCCTTTCACCCCCACCTCCATGCTGGGCCACAAAGGAGGCCACACAGCGCTCGCTCGCCTGGCTTCTGAGGTGAATGTTCCTGCACCGAGAAGGCTTCTCCAGCGTTTATTCTGACCTTGTTTATGGTAATCTGCTGTCTCCACTTTTATTTTCCAGTGTGCATCCATGCCTCTCTTTTCCCGTGCTGGCCTTTCCTATTTGAGAAAGTCTGGCCACTGACTTTCAACTTGAATGGCATGCTGGGCAGACAAAGCTCCCCATGTGTGTCTTTCAGAGTCACCGATTCTGGCAAAGTCTGGGGGCAGGAGAACCAGGGAAAACAGTGTTTTCTGCTGTATTCACAAGCTCACTATGGTTACCTGCACAAGACCAGGCTAGTCAATATTCCAGCATGAATTCCATTTTTATCAGCTTGTAGGGTATAAGGAAATCCTTCAGCTCCAATATATACATTTGTATCAGCCGAAAGCTATCTTATATATAGTATACAAACATTAAACCTATGCATATTTATTTGCGATCATTACATGGACAAGGATGAGTTTCTGATCCTTCTGCCTCCACCTCCGAGAATGCTGGGGTGATAGGCCTGTCACCAGGTATATGGGATTGAACCTAGCAGGCCTCATGCACACTAGGCCAGCACTCTAGCAAGGGAGCTGCAGGCCAGCCCCTGGTAGATATTTTGAAGTAAGACTCCTTGCAAGCTCTCCCATCATGCCATCCCTCTCTGCCGCACTCGGATGGCTTCCAACACTGCTGCTGTGATTAGTGCATTGGAGCCCTAGCTTCTTCTCATATACCTCAACCTGATGCTGCTTTGACAGGAGAGCAAGAGCAGCTTCGCGCCCCTAAAGGAGGAGCTGGTACTGGAGTCAGGAGAAAGCACACAAGAGAGCGAAGTCTGCTCTAGAACTCCGGGCTTGCTTTCTCCACAGAGACCCTGGTGTCTGGTACGCTGCTCACTGCCAGGAGGGGAGAGACAAGTGGACTCAACCATTCATCCTGGGTTGTTCTCCAGCTGGGGTAGAAACTTGGAGCACCTTCCCCCTCTCACTGGCCTCTGCTCACACAAAGGCCCACTGCTCCTCTGTGAGAAAAAGAAAAAGCCACGCTTGACCACTTGCTTCTTTCTTGGTGATTATTAAAACAAAAAAAGTTCAAGATTTTTGTTGACTTGTAGAACAGTTTCTTGTGCTTGAAGCATGGTTAAAATTTTAAAGGCATTTTTAAAAGAATCTCTGAATTAAAAATGAACAAACAAAAACTAAGATAAAGTTTAAGGATATCCAGTTTATAAAGCAGCTTCTAGGCTGACTAGGGTGTTCATCTTCCTGTTGACTCCAGAAAAATTTTCAGCGACTTCCACCCTTCCTGCACTCCCATCCACACCCCAATTCCTTACCCTTTGATCTACGAACTTCTTTTCTCTGCCTCCCACTGGTCCTCAGTCAACCCCCTCATAAGCAAATGCTTTTTGTTTTCATTCTTCCCTGGACTGCACACCACTAGTTCAAGTCTTTAGTATTTTTGTTTTTTGTTGTTGTTTTTTTTTGAGATAGCTAGCGTCTTACTATGTAGCCCAGGATTGCATGGGAGTCACTAGACAGCCCAGGCCGGCCTTGAACTCACATAAATCCCCTTTTCTCAGGTACCTGAATACAGGAATTAAAAGCTTAATTCTTTGAGAATTACTATACTCAGTTTTTTTTTCTAGTTTCATTCTTTGTGTGTATGTGTGTGAGTGTGTGTGTGTGGGGGCGGGTGTGGGTGTGTGTCCCTATGCACACAGAAGCTGAGGCCAGACAGTGTGCATATGTGCAGGTGAGGGTGTATGTCTGTGTGTCCCTCTGCACAAGGAAGCTAAGGCCAGAGACAGGAAGACATCACTTCCTCTACCACTCTCCATCCTTTTTGGAGACAAGATCTCTCACTGAACCCGCAGATTACTGTCAAGGTTAGGCTAGTTAGCCAGGGAGTTGCTAGGATGCAGCTGTTTTCATTCCCCATTGGCTGGGTTTGGGGGGGTGTTACAGGCATACACAACCATGGCTTTTACATGGGTGCTGGGAATTCAAACGCGGCTCCTCTTGTTTCCACAACAAAGGCTCTTGCTCACTGAGCCATGTCCTCAGCCCCTCTAGCTTCTTCTTTTAGGACACATAAGAAGGACACCTCAGGGAAATAGACAGCGGTCACAGAATGTCCCTTGGGGGTTGGTGCCAGGAGCCCCACCCCCAGAATCAAGGCCCCCAAGTCCTGTATATAAATGCTGCGGTATCTGCACAGAACATATGGTGTATATCAGCACAATATGACCCAGAAAAACCTCATACAATGAGCTTGCTTCTACCATGTGTCTTAGTCAGCGTTCTATGGCTGTGGAGAGACACCATGACCAAGGCAACTCTTACAAAAGGAAGCATTTAACTGGGGGACTGGCTCGCAGTTTCTCTACAGCTCAGTGCTATCATGACGGGGAGCATAGAGAATGAAGGCAGGTCCTGGGTCAGAAACTGAGAGCTACATCACAGGCAGAGA